TATGTCAAACCGGAATACCACAACCCCTCCATTGCAACATCACCTAAAACAAACAAACTCCCTTAGAAGATTAATGAATCAGTAAGATATACCCGCAGTATTTTTCATTTTTTTAGGATTATTTGACTGTGGTGAGACCTGAATAGCCTAACCCCTAGTGGGAGGGCACTGTATGAAAAAGACGGGGATGCACATCACCTCAATTGGGGGTGTAGATTTTGTTTAATTTCTTTTTGGTCTCACATAAACTTTTCAGGACAGAAATCCAATATTTTTACCCATAAAGGTATTGTTAGGGTTCTACATAAAAAGGTATTTATACAAAACAAACTAAGGGATTTAATATATTTGTACTGTGTTGAAGACTGCATTCAATGCCAACATCTCTAGCACTGATTTTTAACATCACCCCTAGTTCTTATTTTGGTCATGTTATTTTATTATAGACTTATTTAGGTGTGAAACAAAGCTTGAGTTATACCCAGGTTGGTCTCTTTAGGCAATTAATTCTAATATTCTGACTTCACACATCCCCATCTTTGTCATATTGAAGTCCATCTCGGGTCCTAATCTCCTAAACCGCTGCAACACTGCCTAAACCAGAGTGCAAAAAAAGGAGTGTCCAATAGCCCGTGACTAGTCGATTTTGCTTTCAGGCTAGTGAATTTTGTACTTAACTTGCCCAACGGGCAAGTGAAGTTTATTGAGGAATTCAAAACACAGAAGAACTGTAAAAACCAATTCTGCTAATCAAAATGTTTTGGGGGCTGATTTTCGCAGATAAATATAATTTTTGTGAAATATGATTGTCCAGGTGAGTGTAGTTTAATTAATCAGACAATTATTCCTCGAGCCCGAATGGACTCTGAGTCAATAGCCCATGAGGCCGAGGGCAGAATGGGCTATTGACTAAGAGGCCATGAGGGCGAGAGGAATAATTTTTTTTAGTAAAATCCAACTAGTTGGCCAAAAATATCGCGATAAAACAACTTTAGCTAGTTAAAGCTAGACTTTAATCCTTTTTTGCCGCCAAAAAGCCGACGCTTTTCGCGACTAGTAGGCTATAACATATAGCCTAGTAGTAGTTAACCAATCAGAACGCAGCATTGATAATAGTCCACTAGTTGACTATTAGTAATCCTGATTAGTACTGTTGGTGACAGTGACTGGCGTTCCGACAACCTGTGTGAAAGTCGTCTTCAGAGTCACCAATAGTCCCATTCAGGACAACACTCACTGACATGACGCCTGGGTTCAAATATTTCACAATGTTTCTGACAAATCAGTAATCCACTGAATTTTTAAATTTCTAGGATCATCAAAATTTCTCCTGCACAATTAAAATGGGTTTGAATGAGTTTTCTTGCAGCATGAGTCAAGTTCGTGCCTGAGTCAAGTTTTAGTCTCTAGTCAAGTTTGAGACAACCTGGTCGCAGAGGTTTTTCTTGATTTTCTTTTTTCTCTGTATGAGAGAGCCGCGAATCGGCAAACCTGACTCGCGACGCTCTCGCGAATCTCTCATGTAGAGAAAAATAGAAAGAAAAACCTCTGGGACCAGTTTAGTTCGAGACATTTTTTTTCTGTTTTATTCCACCCTTTTTATTTTAATATCTTTTAACCATAATAATATTGGCTATAAATTGGCTCAGGAACCACACAAAGAGCAAAATACATGTTACCGCCGGAAGTAAGTAAGTCCCCAGGGGTGTGGGGTAAGGGAGAGCTTGCTGGCAGGCTAGGCAATACGTGACCAATCAGAAGTAGGGAGCGCTCCTAATCGTGGGTAAAACATCAAACATCCTTTTGTTAACCGAAATTGTATTCGAGCAAGTCAGAACAGTTTTACCGTTTTCGGAGTTAGATTTGCTCAGCAAACGCGACATTTGAATAAACAAAACTACGGTCTTGCCTGAATAGCGGTCGTAAAAACAGAACAGTCCTAGTCTGAGAAGCGAATTGTGCAATTTCCGTTATTACCAGTCCAGTCGACGGTATCGGATCAGTGGGGAAATGATGGGCGTTATGCAAAAACACCGGCTCTTAGGGGAGGCGTCCCTTAAAATACGTCATCTTTTCCCTCGACCCAGGGAACTATCAATGCGGCCGTTCTGCTCAAACTCATGGATTTGGTATTTTTTAGACGATCATGGAGGCCGCTGGTATTTTCCGATTCACGCAAATTGTACCTGACTCGTTTTAAAACTGAAAGCGCGTGGAATTCGTCAAAATTGTACTAAATTTGGGGTGATATGCACTTAAATAATTAACTCAAATATCCCCTTAATACGCGATCACGAGCGACTGGGGACGAGGTGGTCTCTTAGGTTTTGTTAAGTTTTTTAGTGAGGTCTTTTTTTCTTTTGCATTAGTAGGCGTAACCTCGTGACAGTGGCCATTTTATGTAGCTGGACTTTTTCTTTTTAAAGTAAAGCGTTTAAATAAAAAAGAAACAATATTTTTATTTCATGACAATAGGATTTATGAAAGGCAGTTGCACTCTATGTCCTTAAAGTGCAAACAGTGTAGCAAGTGTTTTACACGAGAAGAAAGTTGCAGGATTCATGAAATGTAAACAGTGTGGCAAGTGTTTTAGCCAAGTAGGAAACCTACGGAAACATGAAAGAGTTCACACTAGGGAAAAGCCTTACGAATGTAAACATTGTGGCAAGTGTTTTAGCCAAGCTGAATCCCTGAGGCAGCATGAAAGAGTTCACACTGGGGAAAAGCCTTATGAATGTAAACAGTGTGGCAAATGTTTTAGTCAAGCAGGAAGCCTCAGGATTCATGAAAGAGTTCACACTGGGGAAAAGCCTTACGAATGTAAACAGTGTGGCAAGCGTTTTAGTCAAGCAGACGGGCTAAGGAAACATGAAAGAGTTCACACTGGGGAAAAGCCGTATGAATGCAAACAGTGTGGTAAGTGTTTTAGCGAAGCAGGAAGCCTCAAGGTTCATGAAAGAGTTCACACTGGGGAAAAGCCTTACGAATGTAAACAATGTGGCAAGTGTTTTAGAGAAGCAGGAGGGCTAAGGATTCATGAAAGAGTTCACACTGGGGAAAAGCCGTATGAATGCAAACAGTGTGGCAAGTGTTTTAGGACACCAGGGCACCTAAGGATTCATGAAAGAGCTCACACTGGGAAAAAGCCGTATGAATGTAAACAATGTGGCAAGTGTTTTAGAGAGGCAGGACACCTAAGGATTCATGAAAGAGTTCACACTGGGGAAAAGCCTTATGAATGTAGACAGTGTGGCAAGTGTTTTACTCAAGCAAAATATCTAAGGATTCATGAAAGAGTCCACACTAAAGAGAAGCCTTATAAATGTCAACAATGTGGGAAGTATTTTAGTCAAGCAGGAAGCCTCAATATTCATGAAAGACTTCACACTGGGGAAAAGCCTTATAAATGTAAACAGTGTGGCAAGTGTTTTAGCCGAGCTCACCACCTGAGGGCACATGAACGAGTTCACAGTGGGGAAAAGCCTTTCGAATGTAAACAGTGCGGAAAGAGTTATAGCCAAGCAGGAGGGCTAAGGATTCATGAAGGAGTTCACACTAGAGAGAAACCTTATGCATGTAAACATTGTGGCAAGTGTTTTAGTGAGGCAGCAAACGTTAGGAAATGCGGAAGAGTCCACGCTAAAGAAAGGTCGCAAAAACCTGACAGTAATAAATGTCCGTCTAAACGTTTGCTTTATAAGCGTAAGAAAGCAGGAAGTAAAAGACTTGATATTAGTACAGGATTTACAAACAACCTACTAACACAGAGAGAGACTGGCAACAGTGGTATCACTGAGAATCACAGCTGTTGGATTTGTCAAGAGGAGATGAGTAGTGAGGCTCTTCTTCTTGAGCACTATGAAAATCATATGAGACGTGTTGAAGAAAACGACTTGTAAAGTTTAAGAATTTATGTTTTAATCAGTGCTATAAACAGCGATTTTTTACTTTTTTTTTCTCTCCGGAAAGTTATTTTATAAAAGCAATAGAAAAATCTTGACTGAGTATGCATAGCCTGATATAAACACTCGAAGACAGGGAGAATTCTCGACAGCTATGCAATCCCTTTCCACCACAGGGAAGCAAACGGACCAATTTTTCAATTTCATACCTCGCTGAGAGGCTTGGAAGAATAAAACAAAAGAAATCATCTTGAGGCTCAGCAATGAATAGTACATTTCTTTTGTTTTATTCCGCGAGGCCTTGGGGCCAAGTATGAATTTAAATATATCGAAATTGGTCTAGTAAACTATGGGCGCTTTCCTTTCAACTCAAAATTCCGGAAATGTCGGTTGGTACATCAATTGGAACAGACCATTTCGGTTTGATCCGACCCGAATACTCGGGACCAGCTTTGAAGGTGCTCCACTTTGACCGGTCTAGTTATCTCGGTGGGTCGGCCCGAAATAACCCGTTCCATTTGTCAAAATTGTTTTCCCCAGTACCGCTGTTTTGGTATCCTGCTTACAAGAACAATAACCAAAAGCGTGGTTGCTTGGTTCGGGTCTGTGCAACCGGAATGTACCGTTTCATTGGGTATACGTAGAATTTCTGAAATTTCTTCAAACCGGAAAGCGAAAGCGCCCCTTGTTGAAGTCTCGAGACCTTGAAAACCACGCCATGTTAAGTTGCACCCACTTAGGCCATATACGGGAGTGTCTCTTTTTTCCATCAGCAATAAGAGAATATGGATACCACAGCATTATCTTTAGACAAAGGCTTTGGTGTATGTTTTCTTGGCAATAGTTAACATGTTACTATTATTTAAGTCAGTTTAACTCTGTCAGTGTATACACTTTATATGGCCATCTTTATTGTTCATTGCATTTACATTAATTTTACATTACATTTCTGTCTGCATTGGCAAAATGTATTTCATTTTAACTGACTTAGATGTCCCCTGTGAGTCTTTGCCACTTGAGTAAAGTTTAATCTATATATCTATTTAGTGCTAATTTCGAGCTAACATACGTGATCAATTACAACGGCCGTTGTTAAATTCATTCTTCATACTGTACGGATACGTCGCCAGGTAATACTGTACCAATTGCATATTCCCACGGAAACTTATCAAACCCCGGAAGTTTAAAAGTCAAATGTCGGTAATACTCCAAATCTGAGGAGCCCTTGCCCTTCCACTTCATCCAAACTTTGTCGATAAAAGCATGGTGAAGCCAGAACTCTGGGGTGTACGTGGATGTCAAAGTACTATCCATACTCCCACCAACACATTCTTGAAAGCTACTGTGGATAACTTCACGGATTGATTTCTCAAAGGTTAAAAACTCCTGGTGTTGGAGAGCTTTGACGTACTCTGTGTTTGGTAAGTTGCAAGATTGACTAAAGTCTCTTTTCAAGCAACCTCCCTTAGCATACCATGGTATGGAGAATTCACCCTCTTTAAAAGGACCATCCATTACGCACATGTCGGGGAGGATGCCATTGCCGCCCAGACCGCTGGGACCTGAATTCCACACATCTTCGATCTCAGAACCTCGGTTCCAGTGCGCCGCGTCTTTACTCCAATCCCAATAAGGAATTGTTATCCGGCAATCGATCTGGCGAAGCATGTTCTCAAGTTCTAACAGGTACCCTCTGTACCATGGTAAGAATACTGAGGTATCGTGGTTGATTATATCCTTTGGTATATTTGAATACATTGTTGTTAGTTTCCGATAGTCGTCTTTGTAGCGTGGATCAGTCGAAACCAGCTTGAAAGCATTTATGAAGCGTGTTCGTTCTTCAAGACTCATTTTAGTAAACTCTTTCCGTACTCTGGCGCAAGTGACTAGGTCGCCGTTCAGACATACACAATTCCTATCACATGTGTCTTTTATATTTTTCTTTTCTACGCAGGCAATACTGAGACCTAAAAGAAAGAAATTTAAGTACAGTTGCGTGATTCTCAACCAGTCAAATACGAAATGATACTCGTACTTTAAATTCCCTCTCAAAGATGTTCTTGTAAAGATTACCTTTTGCTATACAAAAACGCTTTACAGAGTCACGAAACAAGAAATTAAGACTGCAGCCCCAGGTCAAGTGAAAAGGTGTATGACTGGTCAGCAGCGAGCTTTATTCGATGAGTTATATGGTGACGTGAGCCCGTGATATCAGCAAGACAGGAAAATCTGTATAACCCACTTGGTGCCAACTTCGATAACACATGGACACAATAAGTGTGGTCACGTTAGCGATTTTACCCATGAGCAAATGGCCGATTCCCGATGAGGAAGCAACTTTTTGTGTTTGAGCGATTTCGCAAGGTGAAATTGCCTCTGGAAAATTTCTATGAATACGTCAAACAGAACAAAAGTATTAACCCAAGACAGAAATCACTTGGACTCAAAGTTTATTCAAAAGCACCTTGAAACAATCACAAGTTTTCTTTACATCAGTGTCCATGAATTCTTTCCTTATGATGCCGTTGGAACCATTCAGTTTGTAAACCCGTACTTTTGACTGTTGAGCGCCGAGAATTTGCCTTTCTTTTAAGTGTGGATGAAGTCGACGTATTCGTTTTTAATTAGTCTCAAAATTGAGGCCTGAAACGCTCTTGCTGAGCTTAATTGAGGTGCAGGTCTTATTTTTAAAAGGCTAAAATAGTCGAAAACGTTTACGATTTATGTCAGCAGTCAATGTTTTATAGTGACGTTTTCCCGCGAAACCGGATTCAAGTTTTTTCTTACCTTTGGGCAATTTATCGCTGTGTTACCGCAAACCTGAAATCCATCAAAACGCAGAGTGGACCTGGCCTCCCACGCAGGCGTTTTTAGGGGGAGCTCGTTTTTCGTCCCTCCCCACAAACGCCTGCTCAACCGAAAACAACATTCTTTCCCATTGTTTTTTTTTTTGCGTGGAAAGTGACCAATCGACAGTTGTGTGTGGGGAGGGATGAAAAACGAGCTCCCCTAAAATCGGTTGCGTGGGAGGCTAGAGTGGACCCAACCCAAGCTATTTCCCCATGTGGAGCCTTGGGGAAGACGTCTAGTATGACCTCACAAACAATGTGTCATTAATCATATGAACCCACTCTTCCTGATAACCTGATAAAGAACGTTTACGTCTTTGTTTGAGGAATCGTGCTGTTTTGGAGGCTGTGTCACGAAATTTATCAAAATTCACCGAATTTAGTGAAAAATGGAAATAACCGATCTGAACATTAAAGAAGGTATAAATAACAATGTAAATACAAATGGACGGATGGACAGTTTTTCACAGTTCGTTTTCGTTAGTTTGTAAGACTCTTGTAGAGTTTGAGATCACAGACGCGTAGAAGGCGTATTTGTTGGACGAGAAACTGTAATTTCGTCATTTACAAGTAAATTCATTTCTAGACTACCGTTAATTTCCATGGCGCATAAGGACATGTAATTGGCAATATTAACAAAATGAACTAGACAGCCGTCCTCCCCCTCCCTTAGAGCCTGTACTGACGAACGACGACGATGCACGGACAGCAAAATACTTGGTATTTTATAGAAAATGGAACTCAGGCGCAAGAGCTCTGATATAAAAATGAAATTTCACCTGTAGCAAAATATTGATAATAAGAAGCCCTTCAACTGAGTATTTGATTTTAAATATGTTTCTTGAACTAATAGAAAGGAAGCATTAGAGATGCCTGAACGATCAAAACGTTGAAGATTATTTCGGAACCAGACACACTATCCTTCACCTGTTTCATAACCCGCTAACCGATTGTTTTTCCTAGTCTTATCGCTTGAAATAGTGACCCTGTTTTCATAAAAAAGGTCAAGATTTAGTGGTCGCTCAAGCCGAAGGGGCTGATCGCCTACAGAAGTCGATCCTCAGGGCTCTCTTCTGTAGACTGTTCACAGTCCCCTATTTTTCTGTAAGATCGTGGAAATTGAATGAGCACTTTGCTTTACGGGCAGCCAACTTGGATGAGTGTCATATATGAGTAAGGGCCATTGCACATGAATTTTTTTTCTGTTTATGTTCCTGTCTAAAGCGCTTTTTGTTGTTTTGTTTTAGGTACTAGGTAATCTCTACGAGAGCTGGTGGTTAACGATGCGTGGTCGCTCATGGATAGTTGACTATGGGACGGAATTTCCCATACAAGAGCTCAGACGGACTTCACTATTGAAAATGATACATGCATGTCAATGTTTGGGTTGAATAGTCTCAAAGGAAAAGCTATACTAGTTGTTAAAATACATCACTTAAGTGCATGCGCTGAAGGCTAATGAAACCTAAGCTTCATCCATCTTCCATTGAGCTTTTGCAGTCGACTCCCGATAACTCGAACCTTCTAGGTAAATCGATAAAAGTTCCGGTTATCTGGAATTGGAAGCATTTAACCGAAAATAGAGAAATAAGCCGATGGATGGGGAGGGAATGCAATTAATCAACAGAGCTCGGTTAACATACTCCAGTTAAAATTCAGTGTCCATCCCTGTGACAAAAAAGTAAAGATAAAGAATTGACACGATTGTTTTGAAATAAATTCAAAGTTTCGAACTTTAGTACATGGTTTTTTCCCCGAATTGCCACGCGCTTGTAGCATGGTTCGATTTATCGAGGGTAAAATTATAGCGGGGCTCTCGCGCGCGAAGCGCGCGCAGCGGAGCACCATGGGTAACAAAATTTGGTAAACTATCCATCCGAGAAAATTTGGTTATGACGTAGTGTACGCCCGCCCACCCGTACACACACTTCATGTAAGCCGATGTCAAATGCCGCAATAGATCTTGCACAACTTGACTTTGCCTCAAAGTCACATTAATGTGCCCTAAAGTTAACTGATTTCTGGATGACTTGTTTATTGTTTGATTTAAATTGTAAATTTAGTAACGGGAGCTTCGCTTTTAGGCCTGGCTAAATCTATATATTATAGAAATGATCTGAAGGGCAACAAAAATTACTTCGATGTGGCGGGAGGCTCGAGTTATAATTATGGAGAGTTCGAATTACCGAGGGTAAAATTACACCAAATTTTTGAGGGAAATCCAGGGGATATCGGTCGACTATGGCTCGAGTTAGCGCGAGGTTCCTTTTAGGGAGGATTCGAGTTATCGGGAGTCAACTTTGACCAAAATTCTAAGCCAACAACATACCTTTCACATAACGCTCTAACATTGAGACGTTAAGTTTGCTACAGGAAGTTGACGTTTTCTTAATCTTCTGAAGGGATTTTGCTGTCGTTAGAACTATGTAGCGAAATGCTTGCATGAGGTTTCCAGCACAACGAGGGACAGCAATGCAATCTATGGTGGCCTGTAATTGAAATAAATGCCAACAAAATAAACAAGTCTTGTAAGAAATATTCCTTAGTTCTCTTTAGGTCGTCCTTAATTGGTGGCTTTTACTGTCACGCCATAAAGATTTTAAACTATTAAAACCGTTCAATTCATAAGACGAAGGGAGTAACCAACACTGAAGATGATTATCTCCAAAAATTCCCTCAAGAGTATACAACGAATAAATCGGTCTCCAGTTTTTCCATTGCTCAGCGGTGTAGAAACCATAGTTACTTGAGATTTTCTTTGGCAAACATTTCATGTTGGTAGGAAGACACCAAAACACAGTGGAATAAATTATTTGTTTTTTGGGAGGGGAGATAAAGTTTTCGATTGCTAGCTCCGTTAGCAAAAGAAAAGTAACGTGGTCTTCCCCAGCCCCCCTAGTAGTTTATGTTCACGGTCAACAGTTGCTGTTCTTTCATCATGGGTAGGACAACCCACTACCCACAACTAATCTACTGGGCTCAACCCACCACCCTCGAACAAAGCCGCACGGCCCACGTCCACCCACCCACCCACGCCAATAAGACACTCTATGAGGCAAAGTTCACACGGCAAAGGACGAAGTTATTTTTGACCGTTTGAAAATTCGTGCGTTTAGGTGTTTTATAGGCGGCGGTGTAGGGGGGAGCAGGAGGTCCTTAGCCCCTCCCCCCTCCCCCCCGAAAAACACTTTTACGTTTGACAGTACCTGCGACATCGGCAACTTCAGACCTCAGAAGACTTAAGAACTTCGTCAGAAGCAGTGAAGCAAGGCCGCCTGAACAAACGGCTACTGATGCATTTCACAAATCGATTACGGACGCACTAGACACTGTGAAGATTGCTTGTGCCAACGAACAACGCAAAGGGTATTTTGGAAAATTAGAGTATGGGTATGTGAATGGCTAAGTGGAAGATGAACCCCCCTCCCTCCCACGTTTCAAAACGCTCCGCCGCCTCAGTGTTTTGTTCATACGGAACCACCTTGCCTTTACTGTACGAAAATTGAGAAGACTACCCAATCAAAGTTCTGTGTGAATAGACCAAAAGTATTGAAAGGTGCCCTGTGAACAAAGCCTCAACTCCAACTAAAGCTTTGTCGCCCGGGCGAACCAACCAATGCGTCATAAATTGGAAACCGCTTGGAATAAAGAGTTCAGCGGGGTGTTCATAGCGGAGCTCTCGCGCGCGAAGCGCGCGCTGGTGAGCACCATGGGTAGGTTAATGTGGTAAACTACCCATCCTAGAAAATTTGGTAATCAAGTGACCGTACACCGACCGACCGCCGGAGAGTCTGTCCGCACCACAGGCATACCAATGTAAAATAATTGAACCAACCTGGCCCGGGTTGCTCGAAGCATGGTTAGTGCTAACCAGCGTTAAATACCATGGAAACCTTTACATTTTGATACCTCTTAACCAACGGTTAGCGCTAACCAGGCTTCGAGCAACCGGCCCCTGTATGGCAACCAAATGCAACTCAAGGGTTTATTTGGAAAGAAATCGCATGACCGCCCGGACTTCAAGAAATAAAAGACAACAACAAAGTCGTGTCTTTTTCGAAATTATTTTTGATGTTTACACTCACGTGGATAACAGAGAAAGAGCTAGAGCCAGTGATTGCAAATAAAAGAGACGAATTTTGTAGGAAGAAAAACATGAAAATTTAAAGCGGCGGTGAGACAATGAGAAATTCTAGCGGCCAGCAAGGTGAAAATGAGGAGCAGTGAAAAATATAAGCGAACATGAACACAGGAAACAAAATATTGGGGTGAAGCACATACGACAATTCCTCCATAAAAATAATGTGTAACTAGGGCGTTTGATGATTTAGTCCTACAAAACAGCGTTGCAGTTGTCCAAAAAAACGGCAAAGAAAGACAAAAAGCGTGCTGCACGTGCAAATTTGTTTTTTTGCTAATTAGAAAAAAGTGTGCTGCACGTGCAATTTGTTTTGTTTTTTTTCTTTTTTGCTAATTAGATCTATTGACCTTGATGCCATTTTCATTGCCGTTCCCGTTTAGCATTGTACGATTTATTTTTTTGTTTATAATATATAAGTATTATTAACAAGAGCTTCGCTTTTAGTCCTGGCTAAATCTATATATTAGTACTCTTTTATGCCCCGCAGGGATTTCGCCCAGAAGGCAATATCCCGAGGAGGCATCCTAGTTGCTCGCGCGTATACGTATATAGAAAACGAAAAGTACTTACAGTTTCTTACAGTTGAAATATACAGTCAGACGTATGCCATAAAAATTCTCGATTTGCCTGATTAGGGGCCGCATAGAATCGTTGGGTAATGATAATGTTTCTGTTGTTCACTCCCGCTAGTAAGAGATGGTTAGGACTTAAAACAGAAAACCCCCAAAGGGACCGCTTATAGGTTGATTTTTTGACACTTATTGCGTTACGTGTGTACAGTGACATTCTGTGGAGCAACTGTTTTGAAAGTCATGGACCAAAAGACAATCGTTAAGCGCGGATGAAGTTATAAGGGGCGTATAACTGTGTTTAAATAACCGATTTTTTGAACCAACCTAACGAAAGTTGCAGTCATTTGAATGAAAAGGCGTCAAAAGGCAGGTTTCTTAAGGCCGAGAAGGAAAGGAGGAGAAGAGAAAAAAAGTAATGGTTGCAGTCTTAGTTTTTATGATAGCTACTTCGGAGTTTTTGGCCGAAAAAAACTGTCGGACGCAAAAGGTCCATCTGGCGATAATATTTTCAAAAATCGAGCAAGAGATTGCCAGACACCAGTTTATCATACACAAATCCTAGAAAAGCTGGGCTTGCCGGGCACAAATCTTTTGGAGGGAATAAGACTCAGTCCACAAACAAGCAAATTTCCCTGTGCAAATGAGTGAATCAACAGTTAGCTTATCACTAGCAGACCGATGGACGATTACAGAAATTCGCAGACAAATGTTGTGCTGACGTATGCAATGCTCGCAGATGTCCTCCTATAACGTCTTTTCTTAAAGCATTGTTTTAATAGTTTAAAAAAATGACCAGAACGCGCGAGCCTGAATTGATCAAACCTTTCAATTTCTAAGGCTTACTTACCGGCTAAAAAAATGAACCGTATTATGTAATAAGTGAAGGAGAAATAGAGAAAAGTTCATACCACTTCTAATCAAATCTCAAAACTGAGCATTTTTTAATGAAAGCTGTGTAAATCGACCTAAATCAGTCATGATGGAACCTTGCGTTTCCTGTTTTTACCTCTGCACCCATTGTATGGAGTACGTGGCTAAAAAATCTTCAGTATTAATCGATATATTTCAAAGAGCCACACAAAGAACAAGAATACTATTGACCGACAACATAGAGAGCGGAGGCAGCTCTAGTGTCATCTGTTACTATAACTTCTTCCATTAAATTTGTACATTTTCTGTCACATGTAAATATTGTTACCTAGGTTCAAAGTTCTAATTTAGCCGAGAAGGTACTTGCCACGTTTCCAAGTCCTCTTTTCATTCCCTCTTCGGTGACGGAAAGAATAAAAACCTTCAATTCAGTGTCAATTACCGAAGGACTTAAAAATTTCTAAATCGTTTAGACTCAGAAAAGCTTTAGGATATAAAACGTATCAGTTAAATTTTGCCAAGGAAATTTCCCTCTTAAACCTGATGACCCTGAACTGCTTACTATCAAGAGAACCATATCACTACTATTCATGCAAGTTCTTTCTGAAAGAGTCATGAAAAAATCGTCCTCGCTCTGTTTGCAGAGCGTATAGGAGCACCCAACGACTGTTTTGTGTAAAATATCTGTTCGGAGAGGCAAATATGGCCTTGAAATTTTCTCTTGGCTGAGGACGGATTAAAATTTCCAGATGACCGTTCCATTCATGAACAATTTTCGAATCAATTCCCTATATTTGCAAATCCATTTTTTCACATTTCATTCCCCAAGTTAGGCTATTTTTCTTAAAAAAAGGAAACTTAAAATTTTCGAACTCAAAAATGTGATGTAGAGAGGAATCAGAAGACTTCTCACTTTCTTAAAACGTTCATTTGCGACTAAAATTTTCCAGAAAATAATACTGAAGCCCTTGTAATTTTCGAAAAGACTCAAGTTTCCCTAGGATGACCGAACAATTACAAATTTTATAGCGCCGCTTAGAATGCATTTCTAGAGATCCAAAAGTACTCTCTATAGTCTAATAGGTGTTTTCAATATATTTAGGAGGTAAAACGGTCGTTGGGTGCCCCTGGTTTACGTGGAAATTTTGTGTCAGGTTGGGTCTCAAGGAATCTGGATTCTAACTCTCTTAAACTCGTTCATCTTGTTAAATAAAGAGTCGGTTTGGTCAAATTAAATAAACTCTGCTGAAGTTTTTCCTAAACAGATTTGTTCAAAGCATTCAACATCGCAGAAAATAGATTATCAAATTCTGCTCTGTAAACTTAAACACGAGACTACAAAAATCCTCGCACATCCAAATGACGTCATTGCCTGATCGAAGTATTGCGATTAGTAAGTGATTACGGTGGGACCTCGTTATAACGCAGGGCCAAGGGACTGTCAAAATTTGTTCGCTATAAAGAGCTGTTTCGTCATATTGAGGATCTTTTTCACATGTTTTACTATTGCTGGGGTAAAGAAAATCGGTCGTTACACCGAGGACTTCGTTATATGGAGGTCCGTTATATCGAGGCTCCACTGTTTGCATCACAAAAGAATGTAACTGTTTAAAAATATACCTGCCTCTAGGTTGGTTTAGAAGGCGCTCAGCATAAGACCCAAGAAAACAAGGGACAAAGTTTAATCTAAAATATCGTCGTTTGGACAACCGAACCCCGAGTCAGAAATTAGCAACCTCCCTGCTCTCAACAATAAGACGTTTATAGCAAAACCTCACGTCGCTCGGGTAAAAGGCTAGCAGGAGGCGTAAGGGGAAGACAAACCAAGAGAAAAACGAAAAAATATATGATTAAAAAAGAAAAAACAAAGCACAGAAACTGGAAATAAGTATTGAATAATTATTATTGTTATTAATATCATAATCACTATTATATATTTTTATTATTATCACTGATTATTACCATTATTATACTAAAAAAAATCACTAAAAAGGGGGAATTATTGATTATCTTAGTAAGAATGCAATTGGCCTTGAAAATATTTTCTTCTTTTTTTTTTTAATCGAACTGAATTGTTTTAATTGAAATGAAATGTTCTTAATTTGAATAATTCTTGTTTAATGAAATGAATATTTTTCTAATCAAAACTAAGTGTTGTTTTTTAACGACAGGAATTGTAAAAAGTGTTTTAACGAAATAGTTTTTTTTTTAAAGTGAATTAATTGTAAATAGAATTTTAATAGTGAGAATTGTTATCAATAAAATATGTTTAATAAATTATTATTATTATTATTATTATTATCATTTATGTTTTATTTTTAATTTACTTTTTATTTTTAAACCTTCACCAAAGTTTTCTAGTCTGACTGCAGTTTGAATGGTTTAAGTTAAATGCACGTACAATGGGTAAACAGTAACACTCAATGAAGAAGAAAAATGCACGGATTCTGAAAGAGCTGAATGTCGTTAAAATTATTCGAATTTTCTGCCATTCCCATAAAACAGAAGTGTAACACTCAAATTACGCAAGTTTCTATTTTGTTAAGTGAATTAAAACTTGCTATGCTTGTTTGAAAAGAGGGCAAGTTTACTTACTTGCAGCGAGTCACACTCCTCCTTCAACCGTCGCCCACTTCCACTTTCGATAGCTTTCAAAAGCCCCTTCGAATGTTCTGAACATTCTTCAATCACTCTCTTTTGGCAAGCATCTATAGAATCTGCTTCGTAGGTAGTAGGACTATCTGTAGCTGCCTTTCCTTTGTGGCATGTCAAAAGTATGACGAAAAGTTGTAAAAACAGCATGCTTATCCCTCAACAATTTCGCCTTTACTTAACTGCCGTGGACAATGGTCACCCAGCCTTCAAACGGGCTTTATCTAAAAATGGGTTGCTTGGTCACTGAAAACTATTCATCGACCTTCCAACAGGTTGTATTTACCAAAATCAATTTCCCTGCAAGTTTTAGTCGAATTGTAATTGATTTTTTTGGAGGGCGAAACGGAAACGTCCGATTTCTGTCGACGATGTCATGTCGAGAATGAATCGATCAACAAGGGACTGGACAAATCATTGAAGGGAGAAGGCATAATCAGCAAAATAATTTTAAGGATAATGCATAATCGAAATATTTTTTTATGGATAACGAAATTAAGTTATCGTTCCATTTATCATAAGTAATTTGTACTCAGTTTTCACTTTTCCGATGATTTTTTCCCCTTGACCAACCCAGGGGTAGCGGAGGGAGTGGCCATGGGGAAGACGTCCCTAGCCCTGCCACTTGTTGATGGTCCAAAAAAAAATTGGCTGGTACAAATTTTTTTCAGTTCATCACTCGTTCCTGTAATTACAAAAATAACCACACTGAACGTCTCTTTGAAAAAATGCAACAATTTTCTTACCTCTTTTTATTCCTTTTATGTGCTACTCTAAAATGGGAGTTAATTTTCTCGGCGGCAAAACCTACAGCGGAAAGTTTTCAAGAAATAGGGCTAAGAGAATAGTGAGATTTTCGAGTGTGAAATGATAGCGTTCAATTTCTTTTTCTGTCTAAAATTTATGCCTGAATTTTGATGACTGATTCTCGGTATGATTTGAGGCACGGCCGGATCAATAAAGCTTTGCTAATGAATAATTATATACTGCCTGCTTGCTGTCTCTTATTAACGCTGCTTATATTGCCATAAATATTTGAAAAGGTTAAGAGTAACTATGCTTTCAAAGAACTAAAGGGAACGAAAACAAGAATAAGAAACAAAAGGAAAAAAAAATTATTTATTTTATCGTTTAATCTTTTCCAATTTTAAAAAGCCACAGTGGCAGCACAATGGGTACACTAGTAATATTGCAAATTAGGGGACTGCGTTCGATGAGGAGTGGGGGTGGGGGGTGGGTAGTGAGTGGTAGTTGTAAGGGGGTGCAAAACCTGATGGGGCTTGTACAGTGGGGGGACCCGACTTAGCAAAAATTCGTGTACCTATGATCCACTGATTTATGACATCACATCCGGTTGCAAAGTTGCTGTTCTGTTTTGGCGCGAAGCACTGCTAAGATAGACGCCCGATGCTATTTGGTTTCTTCGTTACTTTAACCCACAGGCTAACGCAACTATGTACCTTGAATGCCCAGAATGTTGAGGAGGCATATAGCCGGCCTTTCAAGCAACTATCATGACCAAACAAGGAAGATTTAGTATTATTTTAACGATAAATATCATGCAGCTGCGGGGAATATCATTGCGAGTCTTGCGATGTTTCAAAACGAGTGTCGTTAACGTCTCGTGGCTTTTGCGGCTTCTGATTTAGAGAAGTCATCAATCAAAAAAGCCTTTCCTGAGCGGAAAAGAATGGAAAAAACGCCGATGGCCACAATTTAAAGTGTTCACCGATGGAAGGCTTTATCACACCCCGTAAGGTTGCAGAAACTTCCACTCATCTGCATGGTTTTGAGGGATGTCATGGCGAGTCTTTCGCTGTTTCTAATCGAGCGTCACTCGAGTTTTTGGCTTTTGCGTCTTCCGTTTCATCGAAGTCATCAATCAAAATTGCCTACCCTGAGCGGAATGGAATGGGGAAAACGCCGATGGTCACAGTTTAAAGTGCCAACTGCAAGACGGCTTTATGATATTTTTAAACTTTCGCGCGATTTGATTCGTTAATCAAATCTTACTTTTTAAGGGTTTCCTCTCTGAATTTTGTTGAGACCACTTCGTGTGTATATATGCTAAAACAATTATTCTTTTCAATCTCGGTGAATAGTGGCTTTAGGAATATTTACCTGCCGCTTTCGCAACTCGGTAAATAATCAAACAACTATTCACCTCGATTTCAAAGAATAATTGTTAAATGTAGTAAAATATTGAGCTTCTCGAATCATTGAAAACGGACGCGCCCAAATAAAATTATGCTGCCAAATTGGCATAACACCAGTTTAGTTTTCAGACACTTAGAAAAATAGTTAATTAGCATCGTATCGGTAATCAGTCTGAAAACTTTAAACAGTGTTCGCTTTATCTGGCTCAACTGTAATACCACTGTAGCACAACTTGGTTTCAGACTTTAATTCGGATTCAATTCAGTAAAATAAAGAAATCAACTCAGTAATAAAACGTTTTCATCTTATTCTAATACACTGTCTTATAATACCCGAGTTGAGTTCGGTATGGAAGCAAGACGGCGTCTAAAACCAAGTCGTGTTACTGCCGAAACGTCGAATTCATTTTGATCATCAGAAGCAGGGTTATATATACTTCTGATCACCACGACGTTTGAAACGGGCCCTACTAGGAGCTCAGAACTTGCAATTCTAGACAGCAAACGTACTTACCAAAAATTTAAAGCCGCTGACTGACTCAACAAACGGTTATTATCTTACTGTAAGTAAAGCAATTTTACTTTTAAAATCAGCCTCAGCAACAGCAGGCTTTCAGATAAAAATACATACCCTTTTATTTAAAAAAGTTTAACTGTATATTATTATACCTTATGTTTAATGGGTGAACGAATCATATTTACATATAACAAAGTGTAGGGGGTTTATGACCCCATCGCTCACTTAGCGAAGCCGGTACCAGGTATCTTAATGTTGGCGTTCTTTAATCTTTACAACAGCTCATATGTCTCGTTTACAGTATAACTTAACGAATACAGTTCGACTACGTACTGTACACTGGCCTACAACCACCAATAGCCGTGACAACCTAACATTCAACTATCATTCTCCTATGATCATACTGACATCTGCGCCAAAATGTTAGCCACTAAGATAATTTAAATGTAGGTACGTTCGGGCTCCCAACGAGAATATAGTTCAAAACCACTTAGACATAGCATTGACGAACGTATTTGTGTATTTAAACGTTAGATATAGGCATATTTTTATCCCCCAAAAATTTTTCATCTGTTCGGATTTGCTAGCTGAAAGTCTAGTAATCCGAAAATTATGGGCATCAAAACTTACCTTTAAGAAAACTTCAGCCAGAAAAAAGGATCCCGAAAATTCTAAGAGACCTTTTTAGGGTAAAAATCCGTAAAAATGGGCAATTATACCATTTTTTAGATGTTTGAAAATCCTAGGAGAGGCCGGCAAACAAGAAATTTTAGTACAAATGCTCCGAGAATTCTAGATCTCAAATCGTCTTCCGAAGAGATATTTTCCAAAAACTGACGTTGGGCGCCCCTGGTAAAATAAACAAACATAATAAGAAAACTAATGAAAGCGTGACAGCAAAACTTACGAGGTAGCTACCTTAAACCAGCTAGGCAGCAACTCTGTGTAGCTAACAATCAAGGTCAGCGAAGGTTCCAACCTGTTAATACAAATACGGATTAACCTTGATCCACAAACTGATCATAACAAAACTCTAGGCACAAGTGAAATAACATGAAATAGTTATAGATAATAACATACAAAATATTTCACAACAAATGCTTCTAGTTTGCACTGTTTCTTCCATAATTGCGATGTAACTCTCTTAAGAATAAAGTTTATCCAGTTTGCACGATTGTCTAGACTGCTACGCACCAGGCAAGGGATTCTTCCTGAATGATCTTTTACCCCGCCCTTTACACGCTTTTATCACGCAATTTGTTGCGTGCGAAATAAGAGCTGAGATGTGGTTGCAACTTCCGAAACGCCTGTAATAACAATCTACAATGTCATAGCGACTCAGAGCAATATGTTGCAGTCAACTGTATGCATTACTAAATTAATAATAAATTAATAAATTGATAAAATGATAAACCAAATGAAAATGAACTTTGAGGAAAGATCCCCATCAGTAAATAATCGGCTGTGGATGCCCGGTAACAAGGAAGCCTCCCTAAGTAGTTTGTTTAAAAGACGTCTGTTCCTAGTCTCAGTCCAGGTGTTCAGATAGCAAAACGCGGCGTTAAGATTGCGGGGAGCGAGTTAAATTGTACACTGGGAAGACGGGGGAAAGCACGAAGGGAGAATAGGGAGAGAGCAAGGGAACGCCTGCAAACGTTCGAGCACTGGTGACGTTGATGAAGAATGCGATATGGGGGGGGGGGGAAGGGGACCGTTCATTTTTAATTTGAGAGGGGGCTCAGGGGCGGGTCCAGGATTTTTTTTTAGGAGGGGGTGAACTCGTCTCTTGCTCTACTTCAACACCAATAAACCACATAGTTTTTTTTTTTTCTTGCAGAATGCCAGTTGTATTAGAAAACTACAGGTAATCTCGGGGTGGGGGGGGGGGGGGGGGCGCACCCCCTGCACCCTCCCCCTAGATCCACCCATGGCGCTGATGGAATTCGACAGGTAGCTCCTGTAGGATATGGTGACTCCCCTCTTCATATGCACTACACGTTAGCACACCATATAGTCGTGCAACATAAATTAATTGAACATTGTGCACAACGTTTTGTAAGCAATACGCACTTCTCAAAACTACTTCTTTTCTGTACTTATTAGTCCTTTAGTATCCTAACCAGTCCTTTTCCGTACTTACTAGTCCTTTAATGACCTTACTAGTCCTGTATCATCCTAACTTGTCCATTTATGTCCTAACCAGTCCTTTTTCGTCCTTTCTTGTCCTTTTCTGTCCTAACCAGTCCTTTTATGTCCTTACTAGTCCTTTTACGTCCTTACTAGTCCTTTTCTGTCCTTACTAGTCCTTTTGTGTCCTTACTAGTCCTTTTCCGTCCTTATTAGTCCTTTTCCTTCCTTACTAGTCCTTTTCTGTCCTTACTAGTCCTTTTCCGTCCTTACTAGTCCTTTTCTGTCCTTATTAGTCCTTTTCCGTCCTTACTAGTCCTTTTATGTCCTTATTAGTCCTTTTCCGTCCTTACTGGTCCTTTAATATCCTTACTAGTCCTTTTATGTCGTAACCAGTCCTTTTTCGTCCTTACTTGTC